GAGAGCACTTGTCATTGATGGGGACGCTCTCTGTTCAGACAGTGCACGCTCTACCAGGGAAGACAAAGGAACTCCAGATGGTGTCTTACCCACGTTGCTCCAAACTCTCCGAAGATGAAAATAGGGGCGTGTGTGTGTGCGTGTGTGTGTGTGTGTGTTTACATCTATAGGCATGAATGAAATAGAAAAAGCTACTGACTCGCAGCTTAGGAAATCCAAAGTCATGTTTTCTTACCCTGAAGTGCTAAAGTACGTAAAGGTACAAGTTTTAAAACGAAAAGTGTTTCTAAAAGACCAGCAGTGTTAAACGACTATTTTGTGTATACTGGATGTGCCTTTAAGCAATAAGAATAACAAGAGAGTGTTGTGCCTCCATTGGGGAAAATAAAAACAAAAACAAAACATCCATTTAAGAACAGACTTCCCAGTGGAGAGGGAGGTTTTTCCTTGTGCTTTGAACATGTCAGATGATTTTCTTCCCATCCTGGGGCCTTACCAATGTATGATGCTTTTAGAGTTTACATGATGTCTGTGTGGATTGTACTTTAGCCTTATTTATATATTCTCATTTATTTTTAACGACATTAGGCTTAATTTGGTTTGCAGTAGTCCCCAGGCTTTGTGCCCGATGTTGGCACGTGCTTTCTGGGGGACTTCTTCTGGGGTCTTCCCCCTTTCCACACTTTCCCATTTGTACAGTGAAGCAACTGCCAGGTGGAAGCCTGAAGTGTGAAAGTTTAAAAAGAAAAATCACAGCTCTTGCTGCTAAGGGCAGCAGAGCGTGTCGGTTAGTGAGGACCACAGAACGACAGTAACCAGGGTAACCAGAGCAGCACTTTGAAACAAAATGGAGAGACGATTTCCTCCTTAGCGTAACAGGAACAGATGCGAGAGTTGCCACCCAGGCCACTGGGGAGCTGGCATTCGCTAGGTGGAAAATGTACAAAGAGATGCATATTTATTTTTCGTGCTATGCTTACCACCTCAGTGCTTAACTTAGGTTTTCTAATAGTTTTAAATTGTGTTTTTTCTATTTTAATGACACGCTCCCCTTTTCATGTAGGTAAGGCTTTCTATTTTTCTCTGACCCATAGTGGCATGAGAGTATCTAACATTTCTTAAGATGACAAAGTAGAACTAACCCTGGCGCTGCCATTAGCTGGACCCCGCCTTGCCCTCTGTGGCCATCCAGTCCCTCTCTGTTTGTGGCTACAGCACGGTGGCAAGACTGCCCAGGGGGAAGTTGCTCAGTGGATGGTGAACATCTTCTCTGACGCAGTTTGCACAGTTTCCAGCAGGCACTCAGTGGTTAAGATGCATCTATCCCAAAAGGCAGTTTCAAAATCCATCATTTAAAAACTATACCTGGCATCTAATAAGTACGGTTTCCCCAACCACCCACTTGTCTTTATATTAATATATAGGTATAGTTATCTATATCTATATATATGCTAGAGAAGGAATATTTGGATTCTTGTACATTTGGACTTGCCTGAAATTAAACACGTGGATCTTCAATTTGGCATTCTGTGGTGCCTGAAAGAGAGGTAACACTCCTGGCATTGCTGTCGCTGTAACCATGTAATAACTGTCTTTTTTAACCCCCTTCCCAGCTGGATTAATAGCATGCTCTCCTTCCGTCCACTAGACTCCAATCCCAAGCTATTTTAGACCTTTTTTTCAAATCAAATGTACAAAGGCATTTATTATATATTTATTCTCTGACTCCTTCAGCAGCTCAGGAGTGAAAGACGAAGCTCCTATTCAGAACTAATGTGATACCCACACGTAAGAATGGTTTTGTGTTCTTTGAGGAAACAAATACCAAACAGGAAATCCTTCCACTAGGATATGCAAGTGGTTTCAAGAAGTCACTCGTGAATTCTAAATGAGATGCAGATAAAGACTAACCACGTGGTCTTGAATCAGTTGAAAATTTTGCTTTTGCTTGTCTTGTAGAATAGCTTACGCGAGTCGTTGGTTTTCATTTCTGTCAGTTTCATAATCATTGCATGAGCATTCACCGTCACCGAATGCTGGTGCTGGCGCGCTCCTAATTTCCCTTTCTTTTTGGTTGATTATTATTTCTAACTTTTTTGTTTTGTTTTTTAACTTGCAGTGCAAGCTTCACATAAAGCCTGGCAAGCCAAGGATGTTCCCGCATTCACCTGCTTTTGCAGTAATATTGTATCTCTGCCATCTATGTCCTTTTGTTTTCTTTTATTATTATTTTTTTTACCCTTCCCCAAACACCAATAACTATTAACTCATTTTGCTGAATGTTGTCGGGTGGTGGAAAAATGGTAGAACGAGGGATTAACAGCCAAAGCTCTGTGCAGCTGGACTTTTGTTTCTGGAAAGCAAATGGGTTGCCTTTTATGCCTGTTCAGAATGGCAGCAGGAAGCATGCCTGGTACTGTGTGTTGCTTTGGACTGAGGAAAGTGGGTAAATGCTGCCTGCACGTCTGACATGAAAACTTCTCACCGCCTCAGCAGCTGAACTAAAAACCTGAATAGCCATGACAACAACTCGCATTTTCTCGATCATTCATCTCCATGGTTGCACAGCCCGTGAACCCATTGTCTCTTCTCCACAGCTGTCCCAAACAAAGATAGATTTGTGCGTAGGCAGAATGGCGGGTAAGCATTCTCTGGTGACACATTTTCATCTTAGTTCATAACATCTTTTGGCCTGGGTTCCTGGGCCTGGTCAGATAGGCTCCTCTTACGGCGTGAGATTGCCTGTGGACGCCTACCGCTCAAATCCGCCATGTTGGAGAGGGCTGGTGTTAAGAAAAGGAGGATTCCATTCACATTTGCCAGTGCACCCTCAGTCCGCACACAGATAGCGATCTCAGAGGTGGGCTCCTGTGGTGATGGGCTTTCCACAGCCAACTTTACTATTTAGGGTAAGGAATCTGTCATGAACACACTCAAATTTGCTCTCAGTGGGCCCGGAGTGGGACAAAGGACTGATTACAGGATATCCGTACTTCTAATAAAAGTTTTCACTAATCATGAGGAGAAAACTTCCACAAATACTTTGCACAGTCCTTCTGCTGTAAATTCTGTATCGTCTACAGCACAAACTCGAGGGGACCCTGTCCATGTAAGGCAGGAGTGGGAAGGAACACAGCACAACCCGTGAGTCAAGAAAGCAGACATTCAACTTCACATCCAGCTTCAGGGCTTAGGCGCCTTTCAATATTTGGCAATAAAGAGGAAAAGAAATAGGACAGCTGGTGTTTAAATCCGGTTGTCTTGAGGAATCTTTTTCACCTTTCCCCTCCTGGTGACTAGCTCTACCTGCCCTTTATGACTAAAGCCCATTGCCTCATCGAGGATCAGGACGAGCCCGTAGGCCAGCACGAACACTGTCCGTCTGCTGGGTATGGGAAAGGCCACTGTACCCTTTTCCTGTCCCATGCCTTTCTGGTTCCCCCTCCCATTAATAAGACCCTCCCAGCTTTCTCTAAGGCTAGCCTCCAGCTTCTTACTTGAAAGGATAACATTTCTCATGAAACCAATACTTTGCTTCTGCCACTTTCCTTCTGGCCTTCAGTAGGTAAGTAGGACAGAATAAGCTCTATACCTCCTGGCACACACTTTCATTTTCTTCTTCTTTTTCTTTTTCTTTTTTTTCCTTTTAGTTAGTAAGTCTTTAGTTGATGCCAACAGAGTTTTTTCTGTTTTGTTTTTGTTTTTCCCTTTTCTCCTCTTTCTCAATGTGTACTTAGAGGAAAGAAGGCATGGTCTTCTATAGTTTAGGCTTAACTAGTCAAAGGAAGGAAATCTGTTTCATTGGAGCCCAAATCAGGCTGGAAAGAACCGGCAGACATGAAGCACAGCAGTAGCGGCCTTTACAGGTTTACATGCTACTGTTTTTGCTTGTTTTTTAAAATTCTAGTCTGAAGCTTGCGGTGAAGCACCAGACATTAGACAGCATGCTGCTGCTAACCAGGGGCTGAGTGTGCTCGTGTGCTGCACGCCGGACAGCGCTCGGATACCGTGTGGTCTGCTTGTTCCGTTTGTACATGCGTTCTCGTGCCTTGCAACGGAAGACTTTTTGATGCCAAGATTATTGATGGACTAGATTTATATTTTTATTAAAAACATTTTTTTTTTAGCATTACATTTTTCACAGTAAGATAAATCATATGGAGAGTCAGGGAATAAAAAAAAATCAAAAGAAACATATGGAAGCTAGGATTTCTTTTTCTTTCCATTTTTTGAATGCATTGCTTCTGAACTTTTTTCTACCACTGCCCCCCAGCCCTGTTTAGTTTGTTATTGCTGCCTTTTTTTTTTTTTCTTTCTGTATCTGTGCCTTTTTTCACAGTAGTCCTTGGCTCTGCACGGAATAAATGATACCCTCAAATTTAATTGGATGTGCTTTCGCCTTTGCATGTAAGTACAGTAGTAAACCTTTGAAATCTTTCTTTTTAAAATTGGAGGAAACAATGGGATGGCTGGTTTTTTTTGTTCTTTGTTTTTTTTTTTGGAGGGGGTAGGGAAGTTATGGTTTGAGCAGCCCTTGTTTAAAAAAAATATATTTCCAATGGCCACATTCACAGCATTGTGACATTTTTCAATGCTATAGACATTTTCTGACAACGTAAATAAAACTAGGAACAAAACACACCACTTTCCACGGGTGAAAATCAAGACAAAAAAGATTTTATGCCTTTGTGACCACTTAATATCTTCTGAGTAGAATGATCTCTCCCTGGTGCTAACTGCTGACAGTGGGTCACCTCTTCGATTTGTTTTTGTCAGAAAGTTCTGACTGGCCACCCCTACACACACACACACACACACACACACACATCCTTTTCTCAGACATAATGATCACTTTTGTGCTGCTTCTGAACCTTACATACCCATTAGCTGCATATGCTGCAGAATGCGATGGAAAACATTTATGAGAATTTACCAGCAGTTCAGAGACTGTTTTCCTGGCTTAGGCTCTTTACTAACTGATCAAGGTTTTGTCCACAAAGGGCATCTCAACCAGGGGAATTATTTGACGTAACGTGGGCACAGGTGACTTACCCTTCTCTGCTTTGTCACTCACCAGCAGTAAGGCTTATTCTCCATACCTTGTGCACCTCTCGTAGACTCGGTTTCCTCTCTTCCTTCCTATCTCTGTAAGTGTTTCCCGTCCAAACTGTCAAGCCAGGTTTTTCAGCTGTTACCGACCTCAG